CATTGTGTTAGTTTACAATGCATAGTTTACATCCCAACAGAGAGATATATGTTCCTTACCTCCTGGTTGGAGGGAAAACCTGTATTTATTTATTTTTTCACCTTTGCTAGTGACTAATATCTTGACACAGATTTTAAAAACACATTTTCAGTATATAGACAGAACTTCTGACATAACATTCACACATACTTTTCACAACTATATTAATGACTAGTGTGACACTGGCTTTCATTTGAGACCTCACATGACATTCTGTGATCAACTAGTATGTACACACTGGACTCAGGAGACTCTTGTAACTCCTCTAAACCCCCCCCCAACCCAACCCCCCCCCACTAGTTGGCATTAAGAGGTTCTTGGGTCACAATATAAGCTTATGATGCCATTTTCCCCTTGCCACTAGTTGGTGGGGCTAAAGTTGTAATACAGGACATTTGAATCTGCATGCCAATAAAAGGCCTTTCTCTAATCTCCTCCTCCCTTCAGATGCGAGTGCACATTTATGAGAACACTGTGGTGAATAAAGATGCAAGTCTATTGAAGGTTAGTAGCTTTAATGTCATGACTGTATTGATCGAAATTTCTGAACATGGGGCACTTTAACTTATGGGGAAAGCTAATGAAACCATTTTACTGTAATATTTTAATACCCTTCTGTGCGATAGTACCTTACTCCATGACTTCACTGGGCCTATGATCAGGAATCGGCAACCTTTGGCACGCAGCCCACCAAGGTAAGCACCCTGGCGGGCCAGGCTGGTTTATTTACCTGCAGCGTCCGTAGGTTCGGCCGATCGCAGTTTCCACTGGCCGCGGTTCGCTGCTCCAGGCCAATGGGGGCTGCGAGAAGCAGCACGGGCCGAGGGATGTGCTGGCTGCCGCTTCCCGCCACCCCCATTAGCCTGGAGCGGCGAACCGTGACCAGTGGGAGCCACAATTGTCCAAATCTGTGGACGCAGCAGGTAAACAAACAGGCCAGGCCCGGCCCGCCAGGGGGCTTACCCTGGTGAGCCGCGTGCTGAAGGTTGCCGATCCCTGGAATAGATGTTACTCAACATAAGTAAGGGCATTGGAATCTGGCCCTAAAGACATAGGGGCCTGTTTATATCCAGCAAAAACAGCAGACTCCAGAAGAGGTAGGAAAAACTTGATAGGCTATTCTTTGAAGTAGATGGGAAGAATATGAATGCCCAACACTTTAGCTTCTATTCTAAAGACTTTAAAAAATCCTAAAATGCTGATATCACTTTTCAATTTAAATGATTTTCCATGGGCTATTCCTCACTGGGTAAAATGTGGTAAATTGCATCTCTGCCTATGAGCACACATTTTCTCTTAGGTATCTCTTTTTAAAACCCAGCTTGAGTTATAGGGGATGCAAATGTCATTTTAAAGGCCTGGGCCTCCTTTTGGATTCTCAAATCAAGCCGATGTGCATTTCAAAAATCTTGGTCAGTCTGTATTTCATCACTGAGTCAGAAAACATTCTGACCACCAACTCTTCTACAACAAGGACTGCACGTGCATTCTAAATTTGATGAGATTCCCACGTAAACGTCACTTAATAAATATTGCAATAGACAATTCGTAGGAAAGGTGCCTCAGGCAAAGCTTATGTTGCCTAGAATGGAAAAGACTTAAAATTCTAAAATATCCTCAATTGTTGATTTACAGCTCGAGAGCATCAAAGCCTCTGTGCCTTCTTTAATCTGTCCTCCTTAGGAGTTATGTTCACCCAGTCAATTGACCAAATAGAAACTGGATTTTGAATGCAGTCTAGTGGATTGAATACTCCTGCAGTGATTGAGCCACAGAGGAACTTGCATAAACTGACTGTACGTTTTGGATAAGGAATAGATTAGAGAAAATTATGACTTGCTTGGAGACATTGACACTTGCAGGATGAGCTACTGTTCACAAAGTAAACCACCGCTATGGTGCCACTAACCTAAAATAAAAGGGATTGGAGTAAGACCTGTTAAATGTACTACAGCAACATCTAAGTATTACTATTCTCCCAGGCTGCAGCCACAGGAAACACGCGAGGATGAAAGTTTAGCTGATTTCTAGCTTCTGTTTTATTTTGGCGATCTTACAGGCTTAGAATAGACTTTTTTTTTAATAGCAACTTCCTTTTCTTTGCTCATTGGTGCATAGGTTCTCAGTGCCTGTAACCTCACGTTTTTTAACAAGTACTCTTGTGGTTTTAATATAATAGTAAAAAGGGATAGAGTACCAAAAGCAATATTTCATGTTGCTGCTGCTTTAAGGAATGCTCTGTAGCTGAGCTTCTGAGTATGTGAACTGTTAATATAACTGTAATACGTCTTTGAAACATGTGTAGCCGTATAAACTGTCCGTAAGTTGCCACTTTCACATTTCAGGTTTAAAATGTAGAATTAGTTAAACACTGGCATCAGTGCTTCCCTTCGTTGATTTGATTTTTATTTTGCATTTGTGCAGCCCTCTTTTCTGGGTCTATACCTGTAGAGATCTGAACAAAGTGACACAAACTTGTTTGTTCATAAACCTTATGCAACCTGTCTCTTCCATACAGAGCCTTAAGACTGAAACAGCCATGGTATAAATTTGGGGGTAGTTTATCCAAGCCACCAAAGTTTCAGGAGGGTTGTTAATGTAGTGGTGACTGCTGTCATGCACTTATGTACCAGATATAGACTGGCTACGTAGCTTGCTTATTATAGACACCAGATGTGTTCATCATAAGATGCCTTAATGCTTTGGCAGGTATGGCTGAGGTTCGTTTAAAATAAGGTATCTTGCACACTGTGCCACCTAGTGGCTGAACAGTATATTACAGTTTAGCATTCCATTACAGCTGAAAGAACGAGGAGTTCTTGTGGCACCTTAGGGCAGGTCTTCACTACAGGGGGGGGTGTCGATTTAAGATACGCAAATTCAGCTACGCAAATAGCGTAGCTGAATTCGACGTATCGCAGCCGACTTACCCCGCTGTAGGGACGGCGGCAAAATCGACCTCTGCGGCTTCCCGTCGACAGCGCTTACTCCCACCTCTGCTGGTGGAGTAAGAGCGTCAATTCGGGGATCGATTGTCACGTCCCAATGGGACGCGATAAATCGATCCCCGAGAGGTCGATTTCTACCCACCGATTCGGGCGGGTAGTGTAGACCTAGCCTTAGACTAACAAATTTATTTGGGCATAAGCTTTTGTGGGCTAAAACCCACTTCATTGGATGCATGCAGTGGAAAATACAGTAGGAAGACACACACACACCAAGAACATGAAAAAATAGGTGTTGACATACCAACGCTAACGAGACTAATCAATTAAGGTGGGATATTATCAGCAGGAGGAAAAAAACTTTTTGTAGTGATAATCAGGATGGCCCATTTCAAACAGTTGACAAGAAGGTGTGAGTAACAGTAGGGGAAAAATTAGCCTGGGGAAATAGTGGGTTTGTTTGTTTAACTACAAAAGTGCCCCTCGTTGTTTTTGCTGATGCAGACTAACACAGCTACCGCTCTGAAATCCATTACAGCTGGTAATTCGCTTCAGTTTGGCCCCATCCCTTTGAGTTCCTGTACAGTGCTCTTAAAGTATATGAAATAGGCTAAATGTGCGATGGAGGGTGTTTGTTACTTTTTGACACATTTTGTTAAAGTTCTAGACTAAAAATACCCCACAGCTATAAGCACAGACGTTTTAGAACTAAACCACCTGAAAGTTCTAATCCCTTGTGTTTTTTATTTAACCTCCTACTACTTGCATCTGTAAAATGCAGTTAAAAAAATCAATAACAGACAAAATACACAAGCTGTGAAGAATCTCAGTAACGGGAAGAGAGGGTGCAGTCTAAAGGGAGTGGGGAAGGCCTCCAAATTTTGCTTTCTATTTAGGATTGCCTCAAAAATGCAACTATGTACATTTGGTTGGCTTTCCAAATATAGAAAGTATAAAATTATTATGTGATTAAACCCTTCCTTTCTTTACCCTTATCTCTATCCTAGCAGTGCTCTGACCTCTTTGTAAAGCATTGGAAGATCATGATTTGCAATTCAAATTCTAACAGCATAACTTGCTAACTTGTCGAGCAAGGGAGTATCATGTACAGTGTGTAACAGAAGTAATGCCACTTACTTCATTTCAGCATGCTAGCCACTAGGTTCTGTGCCACTAACTCTCTTTCCACCCAACCTTTGCAGAGAGACTTGGACATCCAAGAACTGAAGTCTACCATTGTGGAATACTCCTCTGTAATCGAGGTAGAGTAGTGGGTTTTTCTTGTGGGAACATTTGAGAAAATATAGATTTTTTATAAGTTCTTATTCTGTATAACAAGTGAATTTATGAACTCTCTTTGGATGTGATTCTAGACATTACGGGTGGAAAAAAATAAACTGGTGAATGATATGCAACAAATGCAGCAAGAGCTGATTTCGTGAGTATCTGAATTGGGAGTTCCAGTAACTTTCCTTTTTCTCAGGGAAAAAACTTGGTGGATTTTTATGTAAAATTCTTGCTGTTCTTTTCTCCTTCTAGAAATGGAATAGACTTCCCACTGATATACAAATTTAACAGCAGCATCCTTGAAGGGACAAATTCATTGCACCGTGAATTGGCACTTGCTCAACAATCTATAGAGGTATGAAACTTTAAGTTTGAACACTTCAAATTATGTACATGTCTTGCACCACTAATTACCTACATAGGAAGGACCCTCATGACTCAAAACTACTGTGGGTTATGCACAGAGGGACTCTTGTTTCTGAACGGATAGGCCTGGAGCAGAGCCGGCTGTAGGATTTTTGCCGCCCAAAGCAAAAACAATTTTGGCCGCCCCCCCCTTATTTAATTACCCCTCCCCAGCTCCGCCTCAACTCCGCCCCTTCCCCAAATCCCCAGCCCTGCCTCCTCCCCCCAGGCTCTCAAGCCTAGGAGGGAAGGGAGGGGGAGAAGCAGCGCGTGCGCCGCAGCCACTCGGAGTCTCCCCCTCCCTCCCAGGTTTGAGAGCCTGGGAGGGGGGGCGAGTAGCGGCGCGCAAATCAGCTGTTTCGCGCGCCCTGGCAGCAGCAGTGGAGGTGAGCTAGGGCGGCCGGGGCACATTTTTAGGGGCGGCATTCTGGCGCCGGCCATGCCGCCCCTAAAAATGTGCCGCCCCAAGCACCAGCTTGTTTTGCTGGTGCCTAGAGTCGGCCCTGGCCTGGAGTCTGAAGTCCATAAATCACCAGACAAGTACTGAACTGGCAGCACAAGCTTATTACATGCAGCAGGGCCATACCCATGGGCAGAGAATGAATGGGAAGGAAGTAGAGACGTTGGTTAGTCTGTCCAGCATCTAAGTTCACTTAAATCTTGGTGCCTCTGCTAAGCTTATCAGTGGGTGTCAGTTGTGGTGGTTTTTGTAATGTGGACACTTGCACAAATAGTTTGTTTACCCAAAAATGCAGTTTTGTCAACCCAAAACTGTTTTGCAAACTTGACACAAATTCAATAAATAGCTTTGCCAGGAATTTCTTCTCAGGATTTCGATTCCATTCATAAAACAGGAGGAAGGGAAGGAGGCCCAGTGGCTATTCGTTGTCAGCTTGAATGACTATGAATTGTCTTTGTGAATGACCGTGAATAGTCATTGGGCCAGGGAAAGTAAGTGACTCCATAGCCTGGTAACTGAGGCACTCTCCTAGAAGCGGGGAGACCAAAGTCCCTGTTCCAATGACTATTTGATTATTAAAAGTGGAAAACCTTCAATAGGGGAGAGTGAGGGAGACTTATACCAGAATATCCCATAGCCCAGTGGCTAGGGTGCTCTCCTGCACTATGGGAGACCCAACTTCAAATCCCTCTTCTACATCCGGCAAAAGAACCCACATCCCAGCTGAGCACCCTGATCACTGGGATAAAAGATTTTGTAAGGCAGGTGGCAGCTCCTGCTCCTCCTCCTCCTCCAGTTGTTTTGTAAATCTAATCCTATAAAAATGCACCAAACAGAATATTTCTGGATGAACATGTTTCATTTGACCCCAAATGGATTTTTCTTTTATTCACCAAGTTTTTTCTGAAGTTTTCTAATTTCATTTGACCCAGTTTTTTCAGTTGCCAGAGAATTGAAAAATCAATTTTTTCTCCAACTCTACGGGATGCATGACCGTTGAGAACACAATGCGCTAGACTGAACAGCTATCTAAAGGGAGACACTTTTGGTTCTTGCCAGCCTGGGTTGGAGTCAAACCAACCTAGTGGCAAGAATTTGATACCTGACTACCAACACCCTGACCTTTCCAGTGCTCTGAAAGAGCTATTGAAAAATAGCTTCTGTGCTGTGTAGTGCATTCCTAGTTCCATTCCTGTATGACTTTGTGCTCCATGTGCATTAGAAGGACTGACTTTAGAGTATTGTCCTCCTTTCACTTACACCATTGCCCTACAGTACTGTCTTGTTACAGACAGGAACAGCTCGTACTTCTGTTACTGGTACACAGCCTTGTTAAAGGGAATCATTGCCATGGCATATAAAACCTATATTTCCAATAGCTTGTGCAATGAAATCTTTGTCCAGCTACACTTTTAAAAGCCTTCCTAGCAGCACTGATGCCTCTAGCTTAGTCAGGGAGATGAGTCTGTTGCTCACTTTACCATTTTCTGAGTGCACCAACCGGGTGAGGGAGGCATTTGCAGAAAGAGACTGCAGGGAACTATGAAGTAATGTTAAAATTCACTGTCCCTTCTGTGGACCTGAAAGCATGAGGAATAATTGGACAGGCAGTAATCTAACATGGAAAGTAAAATATTTCCCTATGCAGAAGTTTTGAACAGTAGCCACCATATTCTGTCTCAGATTTTCATCTTGTGTCAAAGGATAATAGCATGAGGTGAGGTCCTATTAAAACAAGTGCGAAACAGGTCTAGACTCCTTTCTATTCTTTGTCACCCCAGGAGTCCTAATACCCTATCCATTGTTGTGTGCGTGGAGGTGAGGAGAATCTGTGTGTGTGTGTGTGGAGTTGAGGAGATCTACCTCGCTCAGACCATTCCAACAACATTTCTAGTTCTTAAATCTCCATGACCTGATGCATTTTTGCAGCCTTGATGGGCTTAAAATTCCCAGTAACTCTGACATTCTGGTAAACACAACACAGTAGTACTCCCAAAAGTTCTAAATGTCACTGGCACTGGTCTTTATAATACAAAAGATATCAAGGGACACCTGTTTGGCTTTTTAAAAAATAAATAGATTGCTGGAATTGAATGGGCGGCTTTGGACGAAACATTGGACCGAGAGGTGCTATTGTTACTGCAAGGGCCTGAACAATTGGGAGACAACTTTAAGGCTACCATCCAAAAACTGGTATGATATTGCATAAGTAACTATTTATAGGAATGTTGGGCTCTTTCAGATTTTTAGCCTTTTCAAATCATCCCACAGTCAATGTTTCCACATTAATCAATGGATAGAGAACTGGTCTCTTAGGAGCATCCTTCTGCTTTCCTGTAGTGGAAGGCTTCTCTAATTTAAAACAAATGAATCAGCCAGATTCCCCATGTCACACTCACTTTCTGCCTTGAGAACTGAACCTTAGAGTTATCATAAGACCGGAGTAAAGGGAAGCGCATACTTGTGCTGTCCCAGGAGCAACTGAGGGACTGAATTGGACCAAATTGTGATTGTCCCCTGCTTCCCCCTTACTACGGTAATCTGTTCCTGCCTTTTTCCTGGGGATTATTCCTATCCCTGCTGCACTGGCTCAGTTGTGGTGGCCAGTGCATAATTGAGTGCACAGTTGAGGCTCTGTCCCGGCCTCCCCTCCTGTATGGGAGGGGGTGTAATTGTTCTGCAGAATCTGTGTGAAGGGAAGAGAGTAAACTGGACATATAAATAGCCCATGCTGAGGTGCATAAAGTGGCTCATAATTGAGACTTGAAATGAGGCAGTTTTGGATGACTATATTTGACTCCAATTATTTGGAGGCAGTGCTTCCTGCCAGTTACTTTTATGACGCATCACTTATTGGAGAAATTTCTCTCTAGTACTATTACTAGTCTGATATCCTGCTTAGGTGATGTTGTTGTGTAGCATTAAGTATTTGAAGCATTAATATGTATCTTTTCAGCAAGAGGAAGCCTCTGAAGCAGAGGAACTTGTTGTGACCACTTTGCAATGGGTTGCAGATCCTGAGGTGAATGTGAGGGAGACTTGTAAAAAAAAGCTTGC